ATCTAAACTCCCCTCCCGCACGCGCACCCCCGCCTTGGTGACGCTCACTTCGCAACGGGCCGTGCAGCAGAAATCGTGATATTTTAATTTCGCCATAACTTCGAAACTAAACATCCAATTTTAATCATTCAAAGACCAAATATCATCTACATTAACTGTACTTAATGATGAAATAAATTATTTTGATAAGGATTAATAGAATGAGTAAAATAAATGCGTTTAAAAGTAGTCCAAAAAAATTCAAGATTTTTGATTTAAAAAATGGTTGTTGTGCCTCACTCGACATAGATAGGTATAGTGTGTCGCGGAGTTTTTTGTAGATATTTATAAGATCTACAACTAATTAGAACATTTCATAGTTCTATCTTTTATAGTTTAGGCAGCGTACGCAAAATAAGTAACTTTTCTGGTTGATTTTTTACACCTTGTGTCCGAAAAACCCAAATATATTACGGAACCCTATTTATTTCCAAAATAAAATTTAGCCTATGTTACTCGTGGATAATGTAGCTTTCGAATAGTGAAAGAATTTTTGAAATCGGTCTAGTAGTTTTTGAGCCTATTCATTACAACCAAACAAACAAACAAACAAAGTTTTCCTCTTTATAATATTATATAACTTATAACATTCCCTGATAAATACACTATTGAATACAAAAAGGACTATTCAAATCGGACCAGTAGTTCTGGAGATAAGCGCGTTGAAACAAACAAACATACTTTTCAGCTTTACATAATAAAGTATAAGTATAAGACGCCCGCTTCTCATACTAGAGGTCGAAACCTACCAAAGGCAAGTACCAATGTGACTCTTTCCGAGTTACATGTAATGTCTAAGATTATATAGACACCCGTGACAAACGGTGAAGGAAAACATCATGAGGAAACCTGGACTTATAATTTATAATGATAAGTTTGAAATCGCTAAATCGCATTGAGCAAGCGTGGTGATTAATGCTCAAACCTTCTCTGTGTAAAAAGAGGCTTTGCTCAGCAGTATTTATAGGCTGCTGATGATGATGATGATGATGTATAAGTATATAAGATAGTAATAGCCATATTAATATGGAACTTTGTGGAATAAATCAACCTTATTATTTTAGTCACTATTTGTATAAGTGACTTGGTTATTAGAGACAGAATTGTGTACATTTCGTATGGAGTTTAATTATATCATAGATAATTCTAGTAACCAAATAGTAAGAGCTAACTGAGACCAGCTTATGTATATACAAGACAATAAATATACCTCTAATAGTGATATGTAATGGCAATATACTCGTCCCTTTTTACATGGGTATAATAAATATGAAACAAAAATTATGTAAAATGATGTACGTGTCTTAGTAATATATGTTCATACATAAAGGCGCATTCAACCCTTTATATATAAACTGACCTTTCTGACTCACGCTGTATATCACATCAAAATAACAAATGCTAATATTTGAACGCATTTATTTAGCAATTCTTCACACTGCAAAGGTTCACAGTCCTGTACCCTAAAAAGGGTTAAATTTGGAAGAGAAGGTAACTAATCTTGACTACAAAGCATAACCTACCTTTTCACACAGTTATAAGGTACTTTATGTATGAATGCAAATGAAAGCCAGAAGAAAATATTTAAAATAAAACCTACAGTTTAAATTACACTTCACTTTATGACGTACTTAATGCTAGCTCTGGTGCTGCTAAAACACTTTACATTACAGTGATAACTGGAGAGTTAATGGCCATTTCTACATGTAGTATATTTTGTTATTGCAGACTTATAAGTGGTATTTGCTTGAGCCTTCATGTGAACATTTAGTTAAACTGTCAAACACCAAGCGGTCACCGGTGACCGCAACCTATTGTTCTATAATTGTGTCTACAAAACCGGTACTCGACGAGTTAAGCTAAGTCTAGTGAAGTTTGTGATCAAATATTCAGGGCTCAAATTGCTGATACCTACTCCTACCCATAAAAACTACTCCTTAAAGAGGATTCAATACCAGGCTAAATTCAATTGGATTTTAGAATACCTCTCAAAAAACAAAAACATCGAAAGGTGAATCCTGAAAAAGGTTTTAAAACTCGCAGAAAGTGCCGCAAAAAACTTAGCTAAATGGGAATTGCGTGCGAAAGCGCCACTCCATTTTGATAGTCGGATTATTTACGGCGTGCAACCATTTTTACAGCGCGAAAAATATGGAACATATTTGCATGTCAGTTGAGTTTTTGCATTATTCACGAACATTTGATTGTTGTTGTAAAAAATATGAAATATTTTGTTAAAATACTCGGCAAAAATAACGAGGTTTCAAATGATAGCTGGTAGCTGTTACTTTACTATAGTAAACGAATTTGTCGAAATTCGTTTATTTTTTACGAATTTACACAAATACTAGAGGTAGTTTAAGGATTATTTCTTTGCATAGACCAATTTAATAAAATACTAACACTATTGACGCCTTTTAACTGTGGTTTGTTCAAATAAGATAACTGAAGCTCGCCTTTTATTTTTGTCGTAGAATTGAAGCGTCCCAAGCGGTTTCATCTCATATCAAAACACATTCAACGATCTCAAATATTTATCTAACACAACAAAGATTTCTTAAAATTGAGTTTAGTTCCAACTAACTTTAGAAATTGGATTAGTTAGTGTGTCCAATCTCAACAAGTTTCGGGGATATATTGTTATTGGATGGTGAGTAAAAATGTAGTTTACAAACAATCAAGCCAATTTAACTTATATAAAAGCAATGGACATTCTTTTCCGAGCTGAAAGTTTATAAATTAATTTAAGAGTATATTTTCTAGAAGACGAAAAATAATTGGAATATACGCCTGAGTACTTGGTATGTCCTTATGCGCAACCTGTAATTCGATCGATGCTCGGCGATTGTATTACCGAACAAGGTACACAGGTCCACTCACCGTCACTCTGCAATAGAAGTTAGACAATCAATATCAATCATGAGCTATTGACTGTCCAATTGTTCGTGGTTAGCTACGAAATTATTCAGGGTGCGCGGAAATGATTGAAGCGTACTACAGTATGCATCCGTGATTGCTGCGAGCATCGCTCAATATTTATCAGAACTGTTCATTCTTTTGTCTGTTGTTGGAATCGTTTGGGACGGAAATAGATTTCTTTGAAACATTTAAATTTATAAAGGTATTGTTTACTAGTATGAGTGAATTAATAAGATATAAAACTACCGCTGTCGTCTACAGAACTATAAAACAGGACGGTTTCATAACAGCACCGTAAGTGTCAGGTAGCACTACAAAATAAATTGTAAGCCTGTTCCCTCTAAAGGTTCTCATTTCTAAAGAAAAGTTCGCAAGGAAACTTGACAAAGGATTATACAGAATCGACCTTTAGCACACCTTTACCTAGCTTGTTAAGCCTTATCATTGTAACTGATAACCCGCCACCGTCATAATAAGAAGTAAAGATGTAAGATGTAAAGTGATAAAGTGTATTTTTAATGGGAAAAGCCGGTAGACGAGCCGATGGATCACCTGATGGTAAGCAATCGCCATCACCCATGGACACCCGGAACACCAGAGGCGTTACAACTGCATTACCGGCCTTTTGGAGTTTAGGAATCGGAGGATTGTTGGGCCTCCAACGTTGTTTCACGTCGGTTTTCTGTGAGGCCGTGATATCACTCCGGTAAAAATATAAATTATTTTGAAAATCGAAAGTCGAAATCTCTAATGAATCATTTTCATCATCATTTTTCAATGCAATTATGTCCATTGTCTAACAGACGCTAATTGTTATAGGTAATACTGATTTGTTTGACTTGTTGATTGTGTAACAATAAAGCAACATAAACCAAAGTAAAGCAACTAGTTATTACATGTATAATGCATTCATTTCAATGATAAAATAAGTTAGTCCTACAAACAATTGTTGTTAAACTAAGCAGTCGTTTCTGAAATCCCGTTCGCTAGTAATGGTGTAACTTTGCAAATGGCGAACCAATTTTATTATCACAAAAGTTTCGAACGTGCACCGTATCAGGAAACATTTAACTTGGAAGAATTATCTCACTGATAAACGTAATAATTATGGCCGACTGACTTATATAATCTGCAGAGTTTTGGCCAGTTTTATTATATTACTGCTAGCGAACGTGATTACGACAATATAGCGAAAAGAATTTACACTTGGTGCAACTGAACAATATTTTAACTGAATAGTAAAAGTACCGTCCGTAGTTTCGAGTCCAGTCCATGCGATCAAATAGTAAAATACTAACTCAGATATTGGAAAAGATAAAATTTCATAAAACATAAAATTGTACATTTATTCTCTACGTAGAACTGTGGATGTCCTTTTTTATCGAAACGTGAAGCGCTTGTCAAGTTAAACATTGAAACTACGCTTCCGATATTTCAATTTCATACACGTCTCATGGAGGTACAAAATTTGAAACTAAAAAGATAAAACCACAAAACTGGAGTGTTATATCTAGCTTCAGTAACTACGTGTACCCAAATGAATACCTCTACTCCTTAATATTAATTCGATCTGAAACATTGGTTAGACACGAATATGCAAAGATGATAATAACATTAAATAAACAATGCGATGTATTATATATATAGTGAAAGTTAAAAGTTCACGACCCGTCCGTAGGATCGGCTGTCTCTCCACCTGGCGACACCGCGGCTGTTGATACATATTTGTATTTACGAATTCACACTTTTTATTGTGCAACAAAAAAATGCGTGAATATATTAATTTCTCTCTGCGGTGAATTCAGATCGGGGCTATTCATGTCACCATCAAAGTGATCTATTAGCACCGTGTGACGATATAACAAAAGGAGTAATAATTTATGGACAATGTTCGGGTCAAACTCAGTGATTTGTACCTAGTCGATATTTTCACATGCATAAATGAGATATCGGAGTTCGAACATGAGTTATGAGGCAATAACGATTAAGATTCAAAGATATGGAACGACATAGACCTTAAATCTATATTCTCTTGTTTACAGATTGGAACATAAGCAATAAACTACAATAAATGATGGTGGACCGAGTTTTGGGCTGTCTCTTCCGAAAATACAACACGAACAGTGAGTATGACAATGGTTGCTAATGAATCTGCGTAATCATGCCGCATTCAAACATAACGGTAGCTGTCACCTCAGTTGTTATTTAATTACTTGGAAGTTGGGGCGGGTGAAGTTATTTGATGTGGTACGACCGCGCCAACAGACTATCAGAGTTAGTTATGCACAGCCGTTTGCTCTTTGACACGATCTCGTTGTTTCCAACTGTGCTCTGAAAATATTGTTATTCTATAGTTTGTCATGGAGGTTAAATAATAATGTAATTTTTAGAAATAAGTGTACACCTTGTTGTTTGTTTGGTTACAAATTAATATGAGTACTTAATATATATAAACTAAAAATCCTACCATTATCACTGTTATCTAAAGTGATATTTGAATTTTGGCGTACGAAACGTCACAGCCGCAACAAATGGCACTGGCAGCCGCAACAATAACCCGATATGGGTTACCAGATTGACTAATATTATATTTTTAACATAGAAACTTTATGTTTTTAATTTAATCAGTGAATATCGTGTGCAGTATGCGAGGTGGATTCTCGGTGAGAGGGCATGGAGGGCGCGGACGGCCGCGATGATCTGCTAGAATGGGAGGCCCTGTACTTGCGCCTGCCACTGCAGAACTCGACGTGGAACGCCACGGGATGGGACTCTGGCACGTGGAACGTGACGGGGGTGCCCAACGCCACGTGGTGGGAGGCTGCCGCGCCCTTCGACTCGCCGGCCGCGCTGGTCCGCGCCGCCGCCAAGGCCGTCGTACTCGGACTACTGATTCTCGCCACTGTAGTCGGTAATTATATACCTTTGATATCTTACTCGCGTTTCCTGATCGTTACTTAAGTAGCTAATGATTTAATTGTCAACTGTAAGGTGTAGACACAAGTAAACATTAAGCCGGTAAATGCTGAATTTTGAGTGATAGTTAGGATAGAAAATGTGCATGTCTGATAAAAGTTGGTCGGATAACTTAAATTAGAATAATTTGTCCATTCATTGTTGTATTTTTCCTTGTCCTAAGGCTTTGGCGAATTGCAATTTAGTCCAACAAATTAACTATTATGAAATATTTCATGTATCAGACCTAAAAAGTAATAAAGAAAATAGTTCACTACGTTTCCACTATAACTTTTCTCAATTTACAACATTCATCCAAAATGCTCGCTTCGGATCTAGCTATCAGAGAACTCCATTTGTTCAATCTGTCTTTTGGCCTTGTGCGCTCATATCGAACAGTTTCACATCATATTTCAAAGCATTCATAGTTTCTCTATTTCCGCACTTCAATATAGACACTGAATGGGCTTTCTCTTGAAATAGAAACTGGAAAACATGCAATTTTACTATACATGACTGATTGTACAGTGTCAGCTCAAGTTTAGATATGTAAGTACTAAGTAGATAATTCACCACTTTCAGGTTCCGTTTGTGTACAGCACATACGTAAAATGTGTTTAACTTTGAAACTGGGAGACTATGACACTTCAATTGTCGTTTGAAACAATTTTGGCTTGGTCGCACTCAACTTGTGCTAACGTAGACATGTTATCGTGTTATACTTGAATTCCTGTGTAGCATCTCTTGTAGTTGATTTTGGTTGGCATGCAGTTTCGTTGAACATGTTACAAGTTTGCAATTTTGCCACGAACACGTTCAAGTTTACAATGTACACTAGTATAGCCTTTAGCGTTGATATTTTCAAATCAGAGCCTTTTTTTTTGTTTAAGGAAATGTATTCGTGATAGCAGCGATATTGTTAGAGAGGCACCTGCGCAGTGCTGCCAACCAGCTGATCCTGTCACTGGCGGTGGCAGACCTGCTTGTGGCATGCCTGGTGATGCCGTTGGGCGCCGTGTACGAGGTGGCGCAGCGCTGGACGCTGGGCCCCGAGCTCTGCGACATGTGGACCTCCGGAGATGTGCTCTGCTGCACCGCCTCCATTCTGCATCTCGTTGCCATTGCACTTGATAGGTGCGGCGGTAAAACTTAGCATAACTGAAACATAAACAATATTGTATAGATAAGAGAGTTTAAATATCTTCTTTATTGTTCTAGGTATTGGGCTGTGACAAACATCGATTATATCCACGCAAGAACCGCACGTCGAGTAGGACTCATGATAGCGTGCGTGTGGGTAGTAAGCTTCCTGGTGTGTATCGCACCGCTCCTGGGATGGAAAGATCCCGACTGGGACCGAAGAGTCTCTGAAGACCTACGTTGTGTCGTCAGTCAAGACGTAGGTTACCAAATTTTTGCGACAGCATCGTCGTTCTACGTGCCAGTTCTCGTAATTTTAATATTATACTGGCGAATATACCAAACTGCCAGAAAAAGAATACGTCGGCGGAGAGGGGCTACCGCGCGTGGCGGAGTGGGCCCTCCCCCCGTGCCTGCTGGTGGAGCGCTGGTCGCAGCCGGCGGCAGTGGTGGGATCGCAGCCGCCGTGGTAGCAGTCATAGGACGACCTCTACCGACTATATCCGAAACGACTACAACGGGATTCACAAACGTATCTTCGAATAATACAAGCCCCGAAAAACAGTCGTGCGCTAATGGCCTGGAGACAGACCCGCCGACGACGGGTTACGGGGCCGTAGCTGCCGCCTACTATCCCACGCTAGTGCGGCGTAAACCTAAAGAAGCTGCCGACTCCAAACGCGAGAGGAAGGCGGCGAAAACATTGGCAATAATAACCGGCGCGTTCGTAGCGTGTTGGCTTCCCTTCTTCGTGTTGGCCATTTTAGTGCCGACGTGTGACTGCGAAGTAAGTCCTGTGCTGACATCATTTTCACTGTGGCTGGGCTACTTCAACTCCACCCTGAACCCGATTATCTACACGGTGTTCAGCCCGGAGTTCCGGCACGCGTTCCAGCGGTTACTATGTGGGCGGCGCGCGCGCCGTCGCCGCGCCCCGCCGTAGCATCCCCCTCCCCTCGCCCCTACCCGACTGACCTCGTCTAGTTCGAAACATACTTATGTTACCTTGTTACATTTTCAGAGATATATTTACACCCCTTTATTTTTTGTACGTGATGAATGTGAATACGAAAACCTGTCTAGTAAATAAATCACAAATTCTCTTTATAAAGTTGTTTCATTCGTTCCCGTGGGCCCGACAGAAAGCGGCTTAGATTAAAATTAAAGCATTATAATGAAATGTCGCAGTCGGAAGCGGGGGTTTACACAATTTCACAAATAGCTATTAAAACAAATAGTTACCCTGAAGAAAAGTTCCAGTTGAAGCTAAATAAAAAGCCAAAATGCGGGAATGAAAAGAAGAAAGGTTTTTCCCCAACCTAATCAAAGTATTATTTTCTTTTATACAAACGTTACAATAACATAGTAAACACTACTCTAAGTAGCGACTTTTTGTAAAGTTTGTACCCTGGGGGCACGGACGTATATACACAACTTTCATCAGTTCTTTAATTGTTTTCTAAAGTCATTTTATTGCTAAAAGTTCGTTAATATCGCGAGCATTAAAACCAGAATTACGATCGTACATCAAAAAGTGAGTTTCGACAGTATACGCGCACATTGGTTGAGTTATGAAATAATGCTACGAGGCAGCGCCACGCTCAAATGGCCACTTTATCACAATTAATGGATAATCAATGAATAATTACTCATTCAAACCTTCAATATACGATAATAGAAGCTCGCGCCCTATTACGAGCTTTTCATGGAAATTGATGTGCCATTTTAATTAATTCAATCGCGGCTCAAAGTGGCTACTACAGCGTTTCGGCAATATGTGCCTGCGTACATCAAGTAAAGTAGATCTCACTAGACACGAAGCTTTTTATTAGGTTATACAGCTTTAGTACAAAGAGTAAGTAGAAAACTGTGATATCTTGAAATCATAAAACATCTCTCAAATACGTCTCAATGTTAACTTTTCAAACGATAAAAGCATCCGTACATCGAATAAACCGTTTATATTACTGACGAGATACATAAAAACGTAGATGTTTCAGATAGCCAATAATAGAAAGAATCTTAAAATTCTGTGATTAAATTCCATTCAAGTGAAATATTTTTCATAAAGTTCGTCTTATATTGACCGTAAACCGTGAGAGTCATTTACCGATAAAATGTCCATATCTTTAATGTGCTATTAGATTGCCTGCTTGTTCTTTATATGTCGGGACAGTAATAATTTTATTATTATTACTTGGATGATAAGTGAGCCGTCATTTATTCTGACATTCCGAAATAAGTGCCACTTTTACGATCCCTTTTTTTCATTATTACAGAATTATATTTCATTCAATTTGTAATACAATATGGTGTTCTCGTCGCAATGAACAAACAAAATATGATAACTCGTTTGAATAAATGGCTACAGATGGTAAAAACTCGTGAAGCGGAATGTCAGTTTATGTCGGTCAATAAATCTGAGGAAAATTATGTCCGTGCAGTTCAAAACTGCGCTTACTAAATATTTTATGACTCCTGTCTTGTCAGTGAACACTTTTACATTTAAACTTTGTGACCTCTGACAGGCGCACACTTACTACAGAGTAGCTCAATATAAACTCGGGCTCATGGATACAACATCACAAAGTTCTAGAGTAGCAGACGTTAGAGAATTAGTATTCATTAATTCCTTAAGCCGGGTTGACTATAAAGCTGATCCTTTGTGCGAGCCTATAATCCTCGTCCAATAGATTCCCTAAATTACTGTAGTCAGTAGGTGCGGCCCGAGCTCGGCCCAGACCTAACATTCACTTTACTGACATCGGAAGTGTCTGATTACCATAAATCCGTTACAAAACTTTGTCTGGCGAACTTTGACCATAAACAATATCAGCGGCTTCCCTGGAGTCTCTGGTACTGAGCGCTTACATTGTACTGTCACAACTTGGCCTCTTAATTGCATCAGTTAATTAAATTTTCGTATCAAAATGGTTCATGTATAGCACAGAAAACTCGTAACGAAGTCTCTATAACACGTATTTTAATTAGTTTCGTTGATCGTTATCAAAATTGTTTTCGTTTGCTAAAGTTCAGCTGTTTCAAATGTTGCTTTCAATATCGCGCGATAATATTTTTAATTTAAGTTGCCAATAACAAAACAGCAGTTGTTGTATAAACGTGAAAGTTTTTAAACTAATCAATTTATAGTTGAACTTGAGAGGCAAGGATTTCTTAGCACAAGTGACGCCATACCCGAAATACCTATCAAACAAAAACAAACATAAAAAGCTATGAGCATTGCCTCTTACGATTTCTCATAAAGCAGGGTATACTGAACTATTCTAATAACTATTAACTATTATGCACAACTATGGCAATCACTGTAATGGCAGGCATAGGTAATTATCCCAAGGACTAATGATAACCGTCAGGATTGCTTATTAACATTAACGATACGATACTTGTCCGTTATGAGGAAACTCCAATAATAGTAATAAATATGAAAGTACAGCGACGTCATAGTACAATGTTTTTAGCACTTTGGACTTAGAAGGTAGAATATAAACTTAGAAAAAATTTAATACCTACTTAAGATTTAAAAATAATCAAGGAAGCATGGTTTTTGGGAAATGAATTTTTTGACTAACAGTAATAAAACACAGAATACAATTCGATCAACCTAACGACAAAAATATCGCTATTCATTACATCTCTCGAAATTATACTGCGCACTTTCACACAAACGTCGTAGTTATGAGTCGATAATAAAGTGATATCTCGTACTAACGCATCCAATACTTGTCCAGTTAAGTACAAACTTAATGACTGTCATAATAAGCCAGCTATCTAATTTACTTACACAGCATTTGATGGAAATTCTCATTAACTATACGCATGCAAAGTTTATCTATACATGCAGGAAAGGAGTGTTTTATTTCACGAACCTAGAGAGTAGGCGAGATGCACCGATGTTATGACATATTTATTATTTAGGTCTGAACTTATGAAAACTTGTTCCTTTTTCTTTATTTTTGATAATTTTCCTAGTCAGGATTAGGATAACTGCGCCAAAAAGGCAAAATAAATATTTCAATCAAATAATTAACCAAAATTACTCTAGCACCGCATAAAAGAAACTCTTGAACTAGTTGGGAAATGGCCAAGAAGGAAATACCTCTATATGTCCAAGTCGTCGTCGTCGAAAAAAAATCCGCCAAGTACAAAATATATCTACGTGAAATATCAGGCAGTTTAAGGCGTTGCAACTAATGGCAAAATGGCGCCTGAATATATTATGTACGCTGTTGCACTTTGGCAAGCAACGATAAGTACTCAAAGCTGTCTTAAAACACAGAGTTAAATTATTAATATTAAGCCTTTGACTGTCGACAGAAAACTGTTGAAGGCAAATCCTCCGCTAACGTAGGTCACCGGTGACCTACGCGGACGTTAACGTGGTTAATTTTTACTATACATTAAAATACTAAAGATTAAAATGAACTGTTAAAACATACTGTATAACAGGACCGATAACACGTTTAGAAGGCAGCAGTTATAATTGAACGTAATATTTTACTTATTGGATCACAATGTCGAATATCAGTCAGGTAGGCCACAGAGGTAAAATTAAACCTTATTTCGTAAAATACAAGTCTACAACCTATTATAATTTAAGTCAGAAAGTCTATTTGATTTCATATAAACTACTGAGCATTAACACAAGTTGAATAAAAAGAGTTATTTTTATAATTTTCGTCATGAATATTACTAATTTTACAATCGTTTACAATAATTTTACAATATTACTTATTTTACTAATTTTCATTTGAAGACAAAATTTAACGTATGCTGTACCTAAGTTTACCATAAATAGTGAAAAGTGGGTGTTACATTGTACAGTGGCATTAAGTGCCGTAATGTGCACCTCTGCCTACCCCTTCGGGGATAAAAAGCGTGATGTTATGTACCTAAGTTTTAAAAAATTCGACATGTAACATACTTCGATCTTGCTCAATAACATTGATGAGTTTTGATGCACGCATTTTGTTTATTAAACACATCAAATAATCTCTCAACGTCTTCAATGAAATATGTTTAAAAACAAAAATCTATTTATAAGCAACACTGATTTTAGAAATCGAATAACAAAACGTACATAAATGTTCAATCAATTCCAAATACGAACAGAAATTAAAGAAAAATATTTGCAATAACGACTTACTAATTACAAATTGCTTAAATAAAATCGCTTAGCATTTAATAAGATTCAAAATGAGCTTTATATTTCATTGGAAAGTAAAGGCAGTTTGGTCGTTTTTTACGTGTTTGAGGTCTAAATAATTCAATGAAAAAATATTTTCACTGCCCATCAAACAGTAAAAACATTTAAAAAGCTTATTGAAGTGTGAACTTAAACGTAATCGAGTAAGTAAACGTTAAGCGTCTTATACGTAATACAATTTGTAAAACACTATGTATATGTATATTAGATTGGATTAAATCTTAATTACCGATAGGAATATGGTTTATATTTGCTCACAATTATTTCTAAAGAGCATTGTTAGTAGTAGACAAAGACACTATTATTAGCTTATTGTTAAAGTTTTGCTACAATAGGGAAATTAGAACTGTGAGCGGAATGGTATTTCATTAATGTGTGTTATTTTCTACACATACAGAAATATCAAATAAGGCTTTTAACAGTGACCAGGGGGGCTAAAAAGGTAACATTGTACGTTTCATATCTGAATCATAATATGTGACAAATGTCACGTCATAAAAAGACAACATTTTGATGATTCATAATATGAACTCAAAGTGTTTCATATTTGCAATTCATCTAATATGACACTTTTCAATGGAAATTCGTAAAATGGTTTGCAAAGAGTGAATTCCTATACGTCAAATAATCAGATTTGTCAGATGTTACTCAAAGGCAACATTTCACAGTTCATCTAGTTTATATTATTAATAAATTAATGAAATATAGGAGATTTAGGCCTTTCTGAAAACTTTTTGGAGCATGCACGTGTTTTAGAAAGGTTTTCATATCGTCGGCGAAGTGAGACTCTCCAGGAAATGCAAGTTTTTTTTGAAATACCGGAGCCTGAATATGTTGGATTATTTCGCGTAAATAATAGTGTGTGTCACAAAATAATCCCAAG